AACACACAAATAACATTACAGACCTGGCAAAGAAGGCTGTTGAAAGATCTCTTAAATGGTACAGTGTGAGTTGGCCCTGATCTGTGTATTCTTTTTGTTGTGGGGTTTCTACAAAAGCCTCTCAGTAAGAATTGCACTTTTAAAATGGATTATGTGATAAGGACATCGTTCTAATGTGTTAAAATTCAGTCAGTTTCATTAGACTTCATCCATATAGCAAAGCAGGAACGTGGTGACGCTGCGGGTTAAGCTTAAATGGTACAGTGTGAGTTGGCCCTGATCTGTGTATTCTTTTTGTTGTGGGGTTTCTACAAAAGCCTCTCAGTAAGAATTGCACTTTTAAAATGGATTATGTGATAAGGACATCGTTCTAATGTGTTAAAATTCAGTCAGTTTCATTAGACTTCATCCATATAGCAAAGCAGGAACGTGGTGACGCTGCGGGTTAAGCTGCAGAATCCCGGTTCTAATGTGCTGAAATTCAGTCAGCTTCATTAGACTTTATCCATATAGCAAAGCAGGAATGTGGTGATGCCGCGGGTTAAGCTGCAGAATCCTCTGTGCTGCAAGGTCAGAAGACCAGCAGTCGTAAGATCAAATCCACATGACGGAGTGAGGTCCCGTCGCTTGTCCCAGCTCCTGTCAACCTAGCAGTTCGAAAGCATGCAAATGCAAGTAGATAAATAGGGACCACCACTATAGGAAGGTGATGGCGTTCCGTGTCTAGTCGCGCTGGCATCGTGACCACGGAACCTGTCTTCGGACAAACACTGGCTCTAAGGCTTGGAAACGGAGATGAGCACCACACCCTAGAGTCAGACACGACTGGACTAAATGTCAAGGGGAACTTTTACCTTACCCTATATAGCAAAACAGTAGAAACTTTTTTTCCATAAACGTCATAGATTTTGTTCTGAAAGGATTAGACTTTTCTTTTGAAAATGCACTACAAAATACTAGCAAATAACACAGAATTAACTGAAACATGGTGATGTGTGTTTGTTATCTTTTGCATACACAAAGGAGAAGAGGCTTTTTAAATGAAGTATTTATGGAATGTCTTGCTGTATTACAGTACATATTCCATGGCTTTTATTAGTCATAGATTTTGTTCTGAAAGGATTAGACTTTTCTTTTGAAAATGCACTACAAAATACTAGCAAATAACACAGAATTAACTGAAACATGGTGATGTGTGTTTGTTATCTTTTGCATACACAAAGGAGAAGAGGCTTTTTAAATGAAGTATTTATGGAATGTCTTGCTGTATTACAGTACATATTCCATGGCTTTTATTAGAATGGATACCTTTTGAGATACTAAAATAGTCATTGAAGCATTCAGCAAATGTAGCAATCATTACCTGGTTCATGTATTTTGTGGAACTAGAAATGCATAAAAATAGAAAAGAATTAGAACGTCTTGCAAATAGATTTCTTCCCTAAGGAATGAATGTGATAAGCTGGGAAACGACACAAATAATTTTGTATTGGATGGAACGAAAAGGTTCTGGAAAAGTACAAGACATCTAATTATAAAAGAACAACAATGTGAAGGGAGGGGGAAAAGTCTATAGAAATAGCACGAATAGCATGGAAACTTGGCAGAATGATATGAATTGTTCAAACACAGCAGAATGAATAGAAAGGGGGTGGAGTTAACTGTGTATGTTAAAAATACATCTTCTTGCACAGAAACTCAGGAGCATGTGCTTGTTTCTCCCATCAACAGGATCTGGACTAATATAATTGGGGTGAAAAACAAAAGGGACATGGTACTTGAGTCCAGCCAAGGACAGAATGCAGATGAAACCTTTGAAAAACAAATTAAACAAATTTCAAAGAGACATTTCAATTATCCTGAAATGTATTGGGAAGCAAATTCAGCCAAATATGGCCCTTTCAAGAAATTTGTGCTTTGTGTTGTTCATAATTAACTCCTAAGAGTGGAGGAAGACACTAGAGGAGTATCTATCCTTAACTTGGTTCTAACCAATAGGGATAACTTGATAAATGTGTTGGGAAGAAAATTCAGCCAAATATGGCCCTTCCAAGAAATTTGTGCTTTGTGTTGCTCATAATTAACTCCAACAAAGAGTGGAGGAAGACATTAGAGGAGTATCTATCCTTGACTTGGTTCTAACCAATAGGGATAACTTGATGGAAGAAGTGACAGTAAGGGGAAATCTGGGAGAGAATGACCATGTTCTACTTCAGTTCTTGATTTTAAAAAGAACAAAAGAAAAGCAGGGTGTAGCCACTCTTGTACCCTGACTTTTAGAAAAGCTGCAAATTGAAGAGTCTCTGCTTCTATTTTGGACTGTGTGTCTCTTCAACTCATTGTGCATGAATTGTACACAGCCCAAAACTGAAGCAGAGAGTCTTTAGTGAGCAGCAGTATGCCACAGGTGAAGTCATTCCTGCTGTGCCAGCATAACTATGCAAGAGGATTAGAGACACTCTCTTCTTCCATTACTTTCTGAATAACCCATTGTCACTACAATTGTGAAAAAACAACTTTCTGTTATATAATATAACAATTAGTCACGCTGTTGATTTGTATCAGTTTCAACTCCAATGTATCTTGAATTGATTTACAGGCACACAGTTTTTGTAGTGCTGTACACATTCACTTTGAAAATTATTATTCCAACATAAAGTAGGGGCTTGTGGCATTCATCCTCATGCCCCTTGCTTGACCATCAAGACTCAGAGCACACGAAGGCAAACAATCCCCTATTTTACACCGCTGCCACCAGTTGCTCACTAAATCACTTCAGGAAGATGAAGATTCAGGTCCACACTTCAAAGTCTTTTAAATAAAACATTTTTATTTATTTATTATAAATTGATAGTGATTCATAAATATCTTCTTTAGGTAAATTTATTATTAACAACAATCTTCTATATGATAATCCACTCCTAACGCTAATCACTCCTCAGATTTCCCCAAACTCCACACTCTATCTCCTTCTCCACTCTCTCACACTACTCATTCTCTCTGACTCTTACTGACTGACCCTCTCTCAGGCTCCGCCTCTTATCACATCTCTCTCGGCTCCGCCTCTCAGCAACATGCATATTCATGAACAATTAACATAACAAACATGAACCATAGACATAATAAAGGGGAACACTACAGGGCTTAAAACTGCTTTGGAAAACTATAAGTAACTGTAATAACATTCCCTATAGAGAAAGGATATGCCCTTGTGGGGAGCAAACAGTTGAGTCTTTGGCACACACCATTTTAGAATGTACCTTATATAGATCTGAACGTAACCATTATCTCTACCCAATAATGTATAAATGTACTGGTATACCTCCCAGAGACTACCTGGAGTTTTTGCTGTCCGGAGAGAACCAATTAATAACACAGTCAGTGGCTAAGTTTTTATTCACAGTTTGAAGAATTCGTAAAATGTTATAATAAGACAAGTACATGACTCATGTTTTATACTGCTGATATATTTTAACAATTTACTTATTTTGTATATTTTATATAATGTGCTTATTTTTGTATTTTCGGGTCTATGACTGTATAATAATAAACTAAACTAATTGTTTCATTAACCAGCATGTCTGCAGACATTTTGCCAATGTTGCAATCCATTTAAAAATCATTGATTTTGAGTCTTTGTCTTGAGCCCACCTGCCCTCACACTGGCTGCCTCTCATTTATGGTACTTTATGAGCCAGCAGAAAGAGAAAGGGAGAAAGCACTCCCTCCTTCTTCCCAAAGTGAAGAAGCTCCTGATATTTTACATTTCTCTAGTCAGATTCATTTTGTGAAGGAGGCGTGAGCGAACATGAGACAATAGATACAATTTATATGGAAAGAGACATTCACATATGCTGAACCAATGAAAAATAAATCCATTTTACATCTATGTTAAAACAAACAACCCTCTGCTAGCCCAGTAAAATATCTCACTTCCAATCAAAATTCCACGCTTCCATATATGTCATGAAACTAGGATTTTTAAAATCAATTTTAATTAAGTAAAACCTGACTCAACAATGGTTCTTATTACCATTGTGACCAAGCCTTAATGTGGGATTGATAAGAGTATGCATACACAAACTAGCAACTTCAGTTCTGCTTGTTACGTTACTTTTTTAAAAAATGTAAGGATATCTGGACCTCAGCACTACTGGCTCTGACAAACAAGGAAGGTCAAAATTAGCCTGGCTTCAGTTACCTGGTATTTTTTAAATATATTATGTGATCACCTATATACACCTATATAAATTCTGAACTGAAGAAGCTCATCATGACAGTCCCTAGAAGTATAATACCAAGGATAATTCAAAACTCCGGGAAAATCTGATGATGTCAACAAACCAGTTCTACTGTAGCTGTTTCCATTATTATCTGGAGACCTCCTTGTGCAATACTTATGGAACTTAACTGCCTGTTCAAGAGCCAGTTGATACAGTACTTTGCATATATTGTTCACCATAGAACTGATGCTGGGATAATTTGTTTTCCTCTTCCCAGCTATTAGAAGGACTGCAGCTAAACTCCAAGGGGTTGACATTATCCCTCCTAGGCAAAATGTTCTGATGCTCCCTCTTGTGAACCATGCCTCTGTTCTTGAATCTCTATCTGTTTAATTGTATGCACATGGCATCACTCTATGTTGTACGTTTGCTTGTTGCCCTAATAACCCATCTTTCCACACAACCCAAAAGAGCTCAAAGTGATGTATTTTGTATCATTTCTCCAAAATGTGTTATATATACGTAATGTTTATTTTTAAAGATCTATATTAATTTTGGTGCCTTTTGAACAGACTGTAGAGTCGTACCTTTGCTTGTTGTCCTAATAACCCATCTTTTGGTGCCTTTTGAACAGACTGTAGAGTAGATACATCACTATCTTCAAAGTAGTTATTAGCAGACAACAAAATGAATGTTTCTGTGACTGGTTTTCAAAAAAATGTCATGAGATCCATTCCACGGCAGTTATTTTTTTCCAACCTTTCCCCTCCTTACTAGCTAAGACGAGACCGTTCCTTGGAAACAGATGAAATGGGAATGAATGTTAAAAGACCCTCCAGAAAGTCTGTCACTAAGATGCTATGTAAGTACAATGATGATAATTCGTGTTTAGAAATTAATGTGAAAAAGATAGATATAGAAAAGGGGTGGGCAAACATTGGACTTCCCCCACTGGTGTAAACAAAAATCTTTTCACAACTGGAGACCACCCCAGTAGGTATTAGGGTTCAACTCTTAATTTGTGTTTTTAGACTCAGAAAGGGAGAAAAAGAAGAACAGACACATGACTTGCCATAAACAGCTACCATTTTGGGCTGCATTGTGCCCTGACTTTAAGTAAGAATTACTATTCTGGAGGACTCACCGTACCAGGTTGTATCAGCCATGAAGATACAGCCACGGTCAGCTGACCTTGGCAACCTGAGGACAGGAGATATAGGTGGCAATCCTGTGCATACTTATCAAGGTGTGAGCATCATTGAACACAATGCTGAGAATTATATTGGTACATATAACTTGTAGCCAATTGTGGCTAATTGATGAGGTGCATGTTGAGGTTGCATGCCTGCTCATGCATCTGATTACACAACCAAGATGTGCCCTGGTGCTTTCTCAGCTAGCCATGGCAAGTTACATAAACTTTACACAAACATCAACAGGATTCTGGCCAGTCGGAATTCCCTCTGTATAAACATACATAGGATTGCACTATTAATTTTGTGGTTCATCATTTAGATATAGTCCAAGCTATCTGACAGATTGTATCTACTCATATAGCTTTCCTCACATTTTAAGATCTTCTGAAAAAAAACATTGCAGATATTTTTTAATATCCTGTTTCCCCAAAAATAAGACCCTCTCAGACCTGTTGCCTTCATACTTGGGTCTGATGGGGACCATCTCAGTCGCTGTGCTGTCCTATGAGGGTATGTTGGGCCTCTATGTCCTGTCCCTTTGGTAAAAGTGAAAACATTGCAGATATTTTTTAATATCCTTTTCCCCCCAAAATAAGACCTAACCTGAAAAAAAAGGCTTAGTGCGATTTTTCAGGATGCTCGTAATATAAGCCCTAAAATAAGCCCCAAAATAAGCCCTAGTTAAGTGAAACCCCACTCTCCATCCTTGTGCAGCAACCAGAAGATGACATGACTGTGAAATAAAACATCCCCTGAAAATAAGCCCTAGTGCGTGTTTTTGGAGCAAAAATTAACATAAGACCCTGTCTTATTTTTGGGAAAACACAGTATCTAATTTTAGCATAGATACCTACACTTGATGCCCTTCTGTCCTTTTTAATGGTTTTCTAATGTGCCTGAATTTTAAAAATTGTTTTTAGATATGTGGTTTAATATTACATTTTTAATTGTTTTTTAATGCCGTTTTGTTTTAATTTCTGTTTGATTTAGCAATATTGTGAGCCACCTTGAGCATCTTCACTGGGAGAAAAGCAATGTAAAATGGAATGAATGGATGGATGGATTGATGGACGGATGCATGCATGCAGGAGATTCAGGATGATGAACAAAGTGATTCAAAATATGATCTCCTGTTTGAAAGAGACTGGCCACCCAGCATTTGTTAAAACAAACAGGAATCATAGTTTTTGATGCTCGAACTGAAATTCCAGTGAACCTCCAAAATTAGTGTTTTAACAGTTTCCTATAAAATGTTACAGCCAGCAATGGATTACCCTTCTAATTGCAAGAACATTGCTAGATCCCATCTCAAATTCAAACTCTTTTTTGCAGGGGAAACTGCAAATCCTGGTTTGGGGTTGCATGCTTGAACGCTTCATTGGTGATGTGGGCTAAGTGAGGACCAGAAATAGGTATTAGGCATGACGAATAGGTATTTTGCCCTGTCTAGAAGAGCAAAAGCCATGCATCTGGATTTGTCTCCCTTCGGGGAATATGCAAGACAAGACACACAGACAAAGACCAGTGTTGTCTGTTGACTAGTAGTAGACTTATATCAGTATTGAATCAAACTTTTCATAGTAAATTAATATTATGACGTGTGGGCAGAAAGGAAGAAAACAGATGTTACAAAATACTATGCCACAACATTTCTGTTTTGATGAAGTGAGAAACCATCTGGGGTGTTCATTTGGTTTATTGACTTTTCCAAGTTCAATACAAGAGAAAAGCTCATACGTCTTCACCTCTCTCTGTGTTTCTCTCCTTCTCTCAACAGTTGTTCTAGTAATTGTTTTCGGAATATGCTGGGCTCCATTCCACACAGACCGACTTTTCTACAGTTTTGTTGCAAACTGGACAGAACCTCTTGCCAATATATTCAACTTAATCCATGTGGTGTCAGGTATTTTTATTGTCTCACTTCCTTGTTTCAGATTAAAACCATCCCAGGGCCCTTTTCTGCCTATAACCGGTCAACCAATGGCACATGTGCCCTTCTCACCCACTCTGATCAAGTCACGTTCCATGCTTTCTATGGCTGATCAAGGTATTTTGGCACCTGAGATGGAAAACCCTGTAATATCTCTTCTCCCTCCCAAGCAATAAAAACACAACAACAAATAGCTAACAATCTGCTACCCTTTCATGCCTCCCAAAGATCAGCATTTTGTGCTGCGTAGTGGTAGAGCCAGCCCTTGTTGCAAGAAAAATATATAGGAAGAAAAAATGTGATTGAATAAAATAGATATTTCCTTCTTGCTGGTCAGCAATTATCTTTGTTAAATTATCTTTGACTAAAGTGGTGTATGAACTTTTAAAAAAACATCTGTAATAGTTTAACAGCAACTGCCAGAAAGGAAATAAGTAACAATATACAATTCTTGTCTTCTCCACTTGCTACGAATGAATGAAACCACTTAGTTCTGCAGTATTATTGTTTTCCTGTCTTAAGAGTCACTGCCACTGTCCTCTTCAATATTTACACAGATGGAGCTCCAGCTGCAGAAGTTACTGTGGTAATCAGGTCCAAAAACCCTCATAGATCTTGGTGGCAGCCGTATCGTCTGTGCAGATGTAAATATTTAAGAGATACTGTCATAAATGTAGATAAAGCAAGCTACCACTGGAGCAGAAAAACTTGGAAGAATATATTCCATTCTGGCTGGGAGAATCTTAGAGTGATAATGCAGCCTCTGTATTTGCAAGATCTGAGCAAGCATTATTTTGGCAAGTAAACAAACCCCCAACTTCCAGATGTCTTGGATGAGAATTAATCACCTAAAATCTAAGAGTGTGCAAAAGAAACTCTGATAACATACAAAGGTGCTGCAACATGAGTTGGTTGGATCCTTATGATTAAGAACAGGATGCGCTCCAAATGTCTTTGTGCACTGATGTCAGCATTTTTTACCCATAAAAATATGCAAAAAGCCATTATTGCTGCTCTAGACCATGTCTAATATAGACAGGGTAATAAACAAACTGTTCTTTCTGATGATTTTTCAGCCAAGCAGGGAATCTCATTAGGAAGCAGACACAAAAAAACAAAAAACAAAAAACCCAAAAAAAACAGTCTGACATTCTTGTCCAACAACCAAGGATTATAGCAACTTAACTACCATATATAAGATTGAAAACTTTAGCTATAAAACTATACTATAAGGGTCAGTGGCTATGGATCAGTGGCTAAGGGTCAATTTCCCTGTGGAATTTGGCAGAATTTGGAAATGTCACATCTTTGGACTATAACTTCCAGAATCCCCCACCCATTATAACATTTGACCCTATGAGGGCTGAATAGGGAGCTCATGTGAGGTAGTTTACAACTGAGGGAACAAAATTTCACCCCCATTCCTTCACCTTCACTGGTCTGCTTCATTCTGAAGCATTTAGGTAAAAGGTAAAGGTTCCCCTTGAATATTTGGCCAGTCGTGTCCAACTCTAGGGGGTGGTGCTCATTTCCGTTTCCAACCCATAGAGCCATCGTTTGTCCGAAGACAATATTCCGTGGTCACGTAGCCAATGTGACTAGATACGGAACGCTGTTACCTTCCCACCAACATGGTACCTATTTATCTACTCACATTTTTATATGCTTTCGAAACGCTAGGTTGGTGGGAGCTGGGACAAGCGACAGGAGCTCATTCCATCACGTGGATTCGATCTTATGACTGCTGGTCTTCTGAGGTTCAGTGGTTCAACCCGCAGAGCCACATTCTTTATTGATGCTTCCTTGATTTCTCTTTCATAGAAGAATACAACTAGCTGAAATATTTAAATATTTTTAAAGATAAAAGAACCTTTAATTCAAACAATTGGATCAATTGTTGCTTTTCTTCTCTTCCTTTGTCTTTTCTTTCCAAGGGGTTTTCTTCTACCTGAGTTCTGCTGTGAATCCTATCATCTACAACTTGCTGTCCAGGCGTTTTAGGATGGCTTTCCTGAATGTCATCTCTCCTCAGTGCAAGCACTTGCACCCCAGACACACCAGCCACCTGCCACCCCAGAGGAGCATCTTCATGTTGGTAGAACGCAACACGATGGGATCTGCTGAAGAGAGAAGCCTCCCAAATATGCATAGGTCATCTGTATGCAGCTCTCACTTGTCTAGTGGTCTCTAGCTATGCCACTCTCTAAATTCAAGGCAGTAAGGTATGTCTACATTCACTGAATTCAGTGGTTTTTAACACAGCAAACTCACCACTGCAGGTTAATGTCCATTCACCCATCCTGGAGATATTTATCCATTAACACCTCTGACACACCTGAGAGTATATTAAAACAACACGAGCAGTTGTTCATCTCTTCCCAAGGAATCACCATTAGTGTTATTCCTATTCCATGAGGAAGACTCAGATGCAGAAGTGGCCCCTAGTCTGAGATGATGTGCCTCACTTTTCAGTGGTAAAGTGAGGTGCCTCTCTTGTCCAGCCACCACTGCCCATGTGATCAAGCCTTGCCTATGTGGTTGAGTGAATGAAACATTTTCCCGGTTGTGCAGGGGTTGCTCAGGAGACTATGTCCCCATGCAGCTGGCAGAATGTGTAGAAGACCCTTGCATTAAACACCAACGTTTGAGCCATATGTGGGAGAGAAGCATTGCTCACCCATCCCGGAAATAAAGAGACGACACAGGTTGTTGGGTTAAAACCTGGGCCACAACTTTATTAACTATTTATATGGAAACCCCGATCAACAAGGGGGCCTACTGCAGTGCGATATATCTGGAAATCCAGTGTATTCTTTACCTCCGGATTCAAAAGCAGGGCGAGTTCCTATTTCTGAATCGAGCTGTGTTCTATCCAGCATGTTTTCAGATGCCCCTTGATAGGGGTATCCCCCAGTGCGTCAGCCCACTAAGCCTCGTGACTCTAGGTGAACTGCAGCCTGTGAAATCCTCTTAATAAAAAGGCCAGTTCCCGTTGGAGGCCTGTTGTCTACCAAAAAAATGGGATTATGATGTTTTGCACCATGTGACCTACCAGGAATTCACCAAAAGCTCACCCCTTCGCACTACCCGCCACAACATGGGGCTATTTATATGTCCCAAGCCCGCCAACACAGCTGAAAATTTTGGCCCCAAGTTCCCCTTGTAGATCATGTAGATAGAAGTATAGACCTGCATCAGATAAGTAAACTCCGTCAACCCTATATAGTTCTAGGCGATGAACTCTTATGTCAGGGTGACTGACCCCAACCCAGCCCGCATAACTCTGGACACCTCTCGGTTAACACCGCACCATGCCTGGTCAATGTACCTTGGGTCACAATTTGTCCACCATACCAACCTTGGTATATAATTATAATTATAATTATTAGAGTTCTACCCCACCCATCTAGACCAAAGGTCTACTCTGGGCGGCAATGTTTGACCAAATTAACTTCAATGTTGGAAATTTGGCCTCTATAAGTTGTAAGTCATTGATCGCCTGTAAATTAAGCGACTTGCCCATCCTTTGAGCCAAGTCATTTCCTCCTAGGTGAACAACCATTATATCCAGGGGTACGCTCAGAGAAATCTGGGATGCAAGCTCCATGAACTTGCCCCAATGCATACCTCTCTGACACCTCCATTCCAATGTGGGCTGTGCACCCAGACCTAAATTATGACCCCAACTGGTCACCAGGCATACCTGATCACCCAATATATGTAACTATGGCCATACAAAACCACTCTCAACCGGGCCTCAGGTAATTGAAAGCCTAAAAAAGAAAACAAAACCAGCATCTATTACGGGAGAGAACGTACATAGGTCTTGAACCTGTAGGAAGACCACTGCCCCATCTTCTTTATCTGCTCACCCCCATACCCAAGGCAGCTGCTATAGACGCTGCCCCTATGCGAAAGGAATGTGTGCCAAATTTCCATCCCACAACACCTGCCTCGTTAAGCCCTCGGGAGATAATTGTCCAAAATTGGTATCTAGTGAGGGGTGAGTGATCTCTATGGCAAAATAATTTCCTCCAAAGGTCTCTCTTAACTCCACATATTCAGAAACAACCCTAACTGGGCTTAACTCATCCACAAAAAAATGCCCTAAACCTATAACCTGCCCTTTACCTAACTGACCTGTCTTGGACCGACAAAGATGAAACAAGACTCTGTCTTCGGAGACCAATAAGTCTGCCATCTGTAAGGCCATCCTTGAATTATCTTCCTTTGATGTTCTAACTAATTCACTCATTCTAAAGGCCCCAAAAATGCACACAACATCACTGCCCTAAATAATGTAGCCTCATATTGGTCACTGTACACAGCGGACCAACCCTGACTCAGTTGAGCTAATATTTTTGGTGACATAGGAGTGCGCCTATCTTCCTGACGACCCTTTTCCTTGTTCCATCCTTCAATCATTTCCATAATCTGGAAATCAATTGCCGGATCCAGACACCCCTGAGCCTTAGTATAAAAGGCCAGAGCCGACATTTTCCCCTTGAATTGTGTGAGGAGCCAAACCTACATGATGAAGATATACTCCAAAGTGTTGGATCCACTGTCACAGAGCAAGGTCTGCCCAGACCTTCATTATTACAAAACTCAAAAAAAAAAAAAAAAAAAAAAAAACCCTCTTCACAAGCAGCTGCATAGCTGCACCTGGTACTGGGAGCAATTGCTAAAATGATTGCCCGATTGGCTTCAATCCTCCAATCCTCCATACCTCTTGCGGCAATATCTCTGGTCAAACCTGAGCTCCTGGTGCCAACACCCTGAAGCGACTGATCTGTTGAGGAGACAAGGCATGAGCCAGCACATTTTTAACACCAGGCACATGGCAGGCCTGGAACACAATGTTATAGTTCGAACAATGTTCTCTCCAATCTCATCATGCTCTGCGATTGTGATTGTGATGAAAAAGTATTCACAACATGGACCACTGCCGTATTGTCACACCAAAACATGATGGCAGAATTGGCCCAAATGTCCGCCCAAAGCCATAGGGCTCCTACAATTGGGAAAAAACTCCAAAAATGTTAAATCACAGGTGACTTCGGAGTCACACCACTCCATCAGCCAAAGGCCGACACTCCAACAGCCTCTAAAGTAAATGCCATATCCCCTTGAGCAGGCAGCATAGGATTGGACCTGGAACTTGGGTCCTAAGCACACTTCATCCCTCCAAAAGGAAATGCCATTAAAACCATCCAAGAAATTTAACCAAGTGCGCAGGTCATCCTTCATCCCTGATGAAAGTCTATGTCTGTGGTGTGTGGAAAACGTCTGCTTAAAGGTTGTAGCTGCGTTCTGTTCCAGTGACGTGCATACACTCCTGGCAGGAAGCGGCAGCTGCCAGTGAGAAGGATAACCCCTTCTTCTGCCCTTTGGCTTATCAGTAGAGCATAAGATCAATAAGAACTAGTATCCTATCCGTCTGTCTCATAACATAGTATGTAATCATGCTAAGTAAATAAAAGAGCTCTTGGGACATTATCACCAGGCTCCGCTGGCTTGGACATCTGCTGTCGACTCCTTTGTTCTCTCTCTAAGGCAATTAGCCTTCCTTTGTTCCATGATCACCCACAGTGGTGTGGCTTTTTCAACCCACTCATGGCTTCACATAGCCTCCTCAGGAATTCTCTACCAGGAGCAATCACTTTGCACATAAAGTTGAGGTCAACCAATTACCTCTTGTAGCTCCTTCAGCATAACTCTGTTTTTCTGCAACAGGTCTTGAATTCGAATCCTGAGGTCTACTAATTTAGCTTCTGACAATCTGCTTGATTGTTGGATGGTATCTAATTCAATTCCTTAAAAAGTATTCACCATACAGGGTCCTTCTGACTTCTCAGTGGTCAATGGAACACCAAGTTCCCTTGTAACTATGTGAAACATCCTTATGAGGTGCTCGCATTGGGCGGTCCCTGGCTTCCCACAAAATAAAAAATGATCTAAATAATGGACCACCTGGGAAAGCCGTGCCCTGCACTTAAACATCCACTCCAAAAATGAGCTGAAGCGCTCAAACACAGCATAAGAAATGGAACACCCCATTGGCATTGCCCTATCCATGTAATATAAGCCTTCAAATTTAAAACCTAGAAGTTCATCTGGGTGCACAGGCAATAAATGAAATCCTGATTTAATGTCAGCCTTTGCAGGCTCCACCCCATTGCCACAGGATCTAACCATCCTAAGGGCCGCATCAGAAGAAGTCAAGAAGACCATGCATAACTTCTGGGGAATCATGTCATTAACTGATTCTCCAGATGGATAAGACAAATGATGAATAAGGAAAAACTTGCCCTGGGCCTTTTGGGGACCACTCCCAATAGGGAGGCTCACAAATTTGGTACAGGTGGCTCAGAAAAAGGACCACCTGCTCACCCTTCTGCAACTTCTCTGTTAATTTTTTCCCTGATTTTTCCTATCTTCCATACCCTTCACTGATTTTAAATTGTTTGCCATGGTAGCAACCCTAACACCCTGCTCTGGGATCCAAAATCCAAACGTGAACTCATCTTTTAAATAACAAGCTGCCACCTGGTCTGGGTATGACAGAAGCCAACCAGCCAGTATAGATACATTAATTTGGCTGTGGCCCTTTTGAAGCAGGTGACTGTCGTTTGGGGCCACTCCCTTCCTTATTACCACTTGATCCTGGGCATCCCCTGAAACAATTAGCTGACCCATGGGAGGCTCCAGAAATGGAGCATTGGTGCTGGAATCTGCACTGCTTTTGGGCACAGGACCCCTTGGTACTGAATTTGCAGCAGACCAGGCAGGGTTGAACCACCTGGCCCACCAAAGCATGTGGAGTAGTATATTTGATAGCCTTTTGAATCAAATGTCCGCTATCAAAACAATCCCCCAAGGTGGGACAAGAAGGAGTCATTAACTGCAGCCACAAGCCATAGTGATGCACATCCCAATGCATCTCAGGGTGTATCGCCACTCTCATGCGGAACCCCTGGTCATAGAGCAACCATGCATGTTCCAGGAAGTCTACATAGGCTCTGTATATTATGTCATTGTCCAGTATCAAGGCAAAATCTCTTGACCGGCATTCCTTGATTATTGTCATGGCATAGATCAAAAAGCCTAGGAGGAGCCAGTTCGCCTAACATTTCTCAGGCTTCTTCTTTTTAAATTTCTCCTTCTCTCTATCTTTGTCCTAGTCCCCTT